AGCCTCCTGAGTAGCTGGGATTGCAGGCATGCACCACCATGCCCAGCTAATTTTTTGTATTTTTAGTAGAGACGGGGTTTCACCATGTTGACCAGGATGGCCTCGATCTCTTGACCTCGTGATCCACCCGCCTCGGCCTCCCAAAGTGCTGGGATTACAGGCGTGAGCCACCGCACCCGGCCAGTAAGAATTTTTTTAAGAATTTTTTAAAATTGGAGTTGTCAAACATACACAAGAGTGAAGAAGATCAATTAATGATCCCACCGTTCCCTTCCTTGTTTCAACCAATTTTGTTTGACATAATCCTTTTTTTTTTTTTTTGGCTGGAGTATTTTATAGCAAATTCTTGACATGGAGTGATGCCTAGGCACGGTGGCTCATGTCTGTAATCCTAGCACTTTGGGAGGCAAAGGTGGGCGGATCACCTGAGGTCAGGAGATCGAGACCAGCCTGATCAAATGGTGAAACCTCATCTCTAAAAAACAAACAAAAAAAGACATGGAGTGAGGTCTCCTGTGAAATCTTCAGGGTGCAGCAGCCTTCTGACACAGACGGCAGGAGGCGCAGTTTTGGAGCTGGGGTCTCAGCACATTCTAGACAGTAGCAGGCTGGGCAGGGGACTTCGTGGTGGCTCAGTGGCATCCTTCACCAGCTAAACTCGTGCCTGAGCTGATTCTCATGGCCTGGGGTGTCCACTCGGGGAAGGTTTCAGGGTGGGTTTTGCTCAGAAGCACATGAAGAGAGGAAACTGGAACTGCCGCAGGCTGTAAACTCTGTGTGGGGTGTGGTGTCTTAGCACACACCCTCTCCTCACTGCCTGGCGTCTCAGCATCCCTGTTGCCGGGGCCATGGAGCGTCGTTGCCCTGGGGGCTGTGCGGGGACACCGCTCACGGCCCGTATGTCTGTCTTTAGAACGGCATCATCACTGGCGTGTTTCCAGCGAGCCCCTCCAGTTGGCTTATCGTGGTGGTGGGCGTGATGACAACGATGTACGCCAAGATCGACCCCTCGTTAGGAATAATTGCAAAAATCAATCGGACCCTGGAAAGGACGTAAGTAACCCTGTGAAATCTCCAGTTGTCTGGGAAGTTACCAATTTTGTTTTTTTTTGTTTTTTGTTTTGAGACAGAGCCTCTGTCTGTCACCCAGGCTGGAGTGCAGTGACGCGACCTCGGCTCACTGCAGCCTCTGTCTCCCGGTTCAAGCAATTCCCTGCTTCAGCCTCATGAGTAGCTGGGGTTACAGATGCCCCCCACCACGCCAGGCTAATTTTTATGTTTTTAGTAGAGACAGGGTTTCACCATCTTGGCCAGCCTGGTCTTGAACTCCTGACCTCGTGATCCATCTACCTCAGCCTCCCAAAGTGCTGGGATTACAGATGTGAGTCACCACGCCCACAAAAGGAAGTTACTGATTTTGTTGCTGTTTTTGTGCCTCTTCAATTGTGGTGATTGTCACTGTTCTGGATCTGATGTGAAGCCCTGATGCTGTTCTCACATCAGCTTTCTTCCCGTTTCCTGGGTGGCGTTAAGGTCCCCTAGGAGTTTGCGGTCCCCTGTGGCCCTTCCTCTGAAGACCAGGGTGAGAAGAGTGGACGTGGTCCTGGGGCACCCCTCAGAAGGTGTCAGGGCCCAGGGGGTAGCCAACAGTGACAGTGCCCTTAGCCCGGACGGTGGGGCTCTGACACGGAATTTCTGCTCAGGGGGTTGATTGCAGTGTGGTCATTTCTTTGTACTTGGAGTCAGTTCATCCCAGAGTTCTGTGACCCTTGAACGGACTGCTGTAGGGTCCTCTGCAGGGACCTCACCCACTTAGCTCTCTGTCAGGCTGGTTTAGAAATCTCCAGGGGACCTCCCCCATCATTCCCACCCCTAGGGGTTTAGATTTTCCTGGGGGTTTGAAAGCAGGCCCTCTTGCTACCAAGACATAAGGCCCAGAGACACCTTAGGTAATATTCAGCACATGTTTTCTTCCTTTTTTTTTTTTTTTTTTTTTTGAGACGGAGTCTTGTTCTGTTGTCAGGTTGAAGTGCAGTGGCACAGTCTCGGCTCACTGCAACCTCTGCCTCTAGGGTTCAAGTGATTCTTCTGCCTCAGCTTCCTGGGATTACAGGCACCTGCCGCCATGCCCGGCTAACCTTTTTCTTCCTTTGTTGAGATGGAGTCTTGTTCTGTCTCTAGGCTGATGTGCAGTGGTGCAGTCTCGGCTCACTGCAACCTCCCTCTCCTGGTTCAAGTGGTTCTCCCTGCCTCAGCCTCCGGAGTAGCGGGGATTACAGGCACGTGCCACCACGCCCAGCTAATTTTTGTATTTTTAGTAGATACGGGGTTTCGCCATGTTGGCCAGGATGGTCTCCATCTGCTGACCTCATGATCCGACCACCTTGGCCTCCTGAAATGTTGGGATTACAGGCGTGAGCCACTGGGCTTGGCTATTTTTTTTCCAAATACCTGCTGGCTGTTGATAGCACAGATGTATTGCACACCTGTGATGTCCGTTTTTCCATCCAGTTCTGGAGATGGCCCAGACTCCCATCTAGGAAGGTCAGACCCTGCACTGCAGTGACCTCTCATTCGGGTCCCCTTTACCAGTGAGGAAGCATTCAGACAGGTGCAAGTGTCTGCCCGAGTCACAGGAAGAGGGAACTGGGAAGCTGGAATTCAAACCCAGCTCTGCCCAGCTCTGAAATCTGTGCTTTCTTCAATGTACCCCTGGGGTCCCCCATCCCCTGCCCCAGAAACTTCCATGAGACAAATGCAAGTGAACACTGCTGCTTTATCGCCATTTGAGCCTCCAGACGGTGGAACGCAGGGAGACTCAGTTTCCCTGTGCAGCTGTGACCCTTGCACTTGGACACACATTTTACTTTCTGGTCCGAAAGCTCCACGGTGTCTCAGAAGGCTCCCTGCTGCCCTTGCCAGGCGTTTGGTTCGATTTCTGTGCTGCTTGTTTGCCCCAGTGGCATTTTTGGTCTAGAGGAATAATAACCCCCAACTCCTCCTAATTGGGCTTTGTTTTGGGGGCTAGGAGTTGCAGGTGGAAGGCACAATGTTGGGGTCAGGGCTCAGCTAGAGAAACGAAGCTCTGGATCTTTAGAGTCACGCCTTCCAGATTGTTTGCATGCAAATATTGTTTGATCAGAAACAAATCAGAAAATAAACTGGCAGAAAAAGTGACATAAACGAAAACTCACTCACTTAATGGCTGACTTTGGTGTTTTTGGGTGGGGGGCAGATGGAGTTTTTGCTCCGTTGCCCAGGCTGGAGTGCAGTGGCGCGATCTCAGCTCACTGCAACCTCCGCCTCCTGGATTCAAGCGATTCTCTTGACTCAGCCTCCCAAGTAGCTGGGACTACAGGTACCCACCACCATGCCCGGCTAATTTTTGTATTTTTCATAGAGATGAGGTTTCTCCATGTTGACCAGGTTGGTCTCACACTATTGAGCTCTGGTGATCCACCCGCCTCAGCCTCCTGAAGTGCCAGGATTAATAGATGTGAGCCACCGTGCCCGGCCTTGATTCTGATGACTAGAAGTAAAAGATTAAGCAGATTAATGGTCTGAATCTTCCAAGGGCAGCTTGAGCAGGTGCCCTGATTCCTGAACCCCTTTTTGCAAAGAGTCTGCAGAGGACCCCTCCACACCCTGTTCCTTCTCCAGGAAGCCCCCAGACCCTCCAGAGTCATTGAGAGTGCAGCTGAGTGCTTGCAACCTTGAGGTGGCTCAGGCATCTATAAGTG